CATAGAGAACGTAAGTTGCAGTGCCTAGACTGGCTGCAGGTTCTATTACACGACCACATTAGGGAACTGCTGCTTGTTGCACTGGAAACAAACGGAAGGCCGAATGAATGGCTGGCTGGAATTTGTTTTGCATCATATTTCACTTTTCTGTCATATCGATGGTTACAAAGGGTAATAAAAGTGATAACAGTGTGTATAAGAAGTGCTGGGTTAATGATAATATTGTGTCGAGCTAGGAAAATAAAGGCCATGACTTATGCAAAAGTCAAGGGTAATGAATTCTTTGAAAAGATATGCAATGTCATTAGAGCCACTGGATTTCATATCATTAGAGTAAATGTTAAAAAGATTTTAAAAATTATCTTTCTGGAACGTAAGTGCCTGGAAGACTTCAGGGCCAAAGATGATAACAGAAATGGAAAAGCTCCATGTGTGAAGTTGAAAGGCCATGAGAAAGGTTCAGACTTATTTTTGTCTGTTTTGATCAACCAGTCTGTTATTTTTAGGCCACAGTAACAAAAACATCTTCATTGCTGAAATTACTGAAGAAAAATAAGTTTACTATTCTTTTTGTTATATCTCAATTCTTCCCATTGAAACAATCACTTTAATAAAATTTTATTGAAGTACGGTTGATGTACAACATTATGTAAGTTATAGGTGTACAAAATAGTGATTCACAATGGAAAGGATTATACTCCATTTATAGTTATTATGAAATATTGGGTATATTCCCCTCATTGTACAATATATCCTTGTAACTTGTTTTATACATAATAGTGTGTACCTCTTAAGCCCCTACCCCTGTTTGGCCCCTCTTCCTTCCCTCTCCCCACTGGTAAATACTGGTTTGTTCTCTATATCTGTCAGTCTGCTTTTTTTATTATATTCACTAGTTTGTTGTATTTTTTTAGACCCCACATGTAAATCAGAGTATACAGTACTTGTTTTTCTCTGTCTGACTTATTTCACTTAGCATAATACCCTCCAAGTCCATCCATGTTGCTGCAAATGGCAAAATTTCTTTCTTTTTAAATGGATGAGTAGTATGGTATTGTATGTATGTATATGTGTGTGTGTATGTTTATGTATGTAGGTGGTATATATATACCACACACACACTATATATATATATATATACCTCATCTTTTTTTCATCATTCATCTGTTGACAGACACTTAGGTTGCTTCCATATCTTGGCAATTGTAAATATTGCTGCTATGAACATTGGGGTGCATGTATCTTTTCATATTAGAAGAGTTTTCATTTTTTCAGATATGTATACCCAGGATTGGAGACAATCACTTTTATAATGCAATTTTTAGATAATGTAACATTTAGTAGGAACTCAACTAGTGCAAGCAGAACACTATCTTTATTTGTTGCTCATTTAATCCTACCTGGTTATACTTTATGTATCTCTTATCCTAATAAGATTGTAAGCTTCTTGAGGCCAGGAATCATGACATTTATCCCTTTCTCCCTTTGGCTTCAGAAAAGGAGCTCCAAGCTTAACATATAAGCACTCAATATTTTTCCCCACTGTGAAATAGAACGGGGATAAAAATTCTGCTCTTTTCTTAAAATAAAAAACTTTTCTGTTGTGAAATAGAAATCTCAATTAGCAAAGTGCACAATACAAAAATGAATAGTTCAGTGAATTATTCCAAAGCAAACAGCCATGTAACCACTACGCAGCTCAAGAGAAGAACATTACCAACAACCGTCTCTCAATCACTGTCTCCTTTGTTCTCCCGGAAGGTAACCATTTTCTTGGTTTCTCTTGTGCTCTAAAACACTGTTGTTTCGCCTTGCTTGTTTTTTCAAACTTTCTACAAATGGAGTAACACATTATGTATTCTTTGATATCTAGTTTCTTTTACTCATTATTATATTTGTGAGATCTATTCATAATGTTGTATGTAGATATAGTCTGTTCACTTTTATTTGCTGTGTATCATTCCATTGTATGAGTATACCACATTACATATTTATCCAGTGCACTGTTGATGCCATATGAAGGTTGTTTCCAGTTTGGAAAGATTACAAATAATACTTCCAAGAACATTTATGTACATGTCTCTTTGGTATATAGGTGTACACATTTCTATTGGGTATCTGACTGTTGAATTGCTGGGTCATGGGATATTTCCTTAACTTTACTAGAGAAAGTCAAACTAAGCTGTGGTTGTATCACTTCCTTCAGCAGAATATGAGAGTCCCTGGTGCTTCACATCCTTGCCAACAGTTGTTATGGTCAGTCTACTTAAGTTTAACTATTCTAGGTAATGTATAGTGTTATCCAATTGTAGTTTTAATTTGCATTTCCCTGATTACTAATGAGGTTGGGCAAATCTCATTCAAATCTCATTTGTTTATTGGCTGTTTCATATACTCTTTTGTGAAATGCCTGTTCAAGTCTCTTGCCTATTTTTCAACTGGATTGTTGATCATTTTCTTATTGATTACTAGTAGCTTTTTCTATCTCTGTATACAAGCCCTTTGTCAGTTATATATGCTATAAATTTCTTTTCCTTTTTGTAGCTTGTCTTTTCATTCTCTTAATGACATCTTTTGATGAACAGAAGTTCTTAATTTTAATTTGAGTCAAATTTATCATTGTTTGAATTTATGTATCTTGTTTTTATGTTTGGTATTTCATTACCCCAAAATCGTGAAAATGTTATGTATTATTCTCTAGAAACATTTTTTTCCCTTTTGAATTTAGATCTACAATCCACCTTGAATTGATTTTTGTGAATGGTATGAGTAAAGGGTTAAGTTTTTTTCTCCCCAAGATTCTTGTTCAAATATCCTAGTATCATTTATTGAAAAGACTGTTCTTTCTCCACCACTGTGCAGCACCACTTTTCTTCAGATCAAATGTTGATCAGTGCATGAGCTCTAGATTCCATTCTATTTGTCTATCCTTGCACCAACACCACACTGTCTGAATTCCTGTAGCTTTATACTGTGTCTTTACATGCAGGAGAACAAGTTATCTTTTCCAACTCTTCATAATTGTCTTGGCTATTTTTGCTACTTTGCATTTCTATGTAACTTTTAGAATCAGCTTGTTGGATAAGTGGCACTGTCATTTTCTCTCCTAAGGCTGACTTTTAGCTAAAGTTTCTCTGGAATGGAAAAATATGGGCTGTGGAGTCAGACTTGAATTGGAGTTTATCCCTGCTGCTCTCTATTAGGTGGGCCATTAGAAGGGCTGGGGTTAGTTTTAGGTCTATATTGATCAACCATGTCTTGCTTTTAGTCCACAGTAACAAAAACATCTTTATCACTAAAATTGCCATTAAAACTCTGAACTGCACAGGTATGTTGGCATCATGATAAATATTTCATACCCCATCTCAGGAATGTGTCAAAGCTATCACAACAGTACTGCAGACATCATATTAGTCAGCTCTGAACATCATTACCTGTGTGTCATAACTGTAGCTGGTATCTCACTGACTTTAAACATTTGTAGTTTCTTATAAACAAATTAAATTTTTTTATATTATCTTTTTACCATACTCCCAGATCATCATACATTTTAACTCATAAAACACATAAATCGTATATAGAAATTATATAATGAATACTCATTCTGACATCTGACATCCAAACCCTGTACTCCTCCTCTGTTACGTTAAGTGGCTTCTTACTCAGACATCTTTGAGAGCTTGGGCCCTCTAATTCATATTATTAGTTTAACATGCACTTAAAATATTCTCAAACTTAGTATAGACAGCTGCATCCAGCTTCAATATGTGGTTATTTTTCAGCTCATTAATGCTATGAAATCTGTGAACATATTTATTTAGAAAAATTGGCAAGCAGGCAGTTTTGTCTCCAATTCTATCTACTCCTCTAAGTGTCTGTGTGTAACTGTGGCTACATATGGCCTCATACACACATTCAGAGTTCCAGTCTCACCCATTTCTCTGTATCTCCCTCTTTCTCACACAATACATATTCAGACACACATAAAGAAAAGGATCTAGAAAAAGAAAAGATTAAAAACAACTCCCATCTGATCCATCTACCATCTGTCCTTTCTATCTGTCACTGCAGAATTGGGTAAAATGTTCAGCCTTGTATTCATTTCCCTCTTTTAGTCCCTATTCTCTTATTCATGCTGGGCTGGAGACACAGTGAGTGTGCAAAAAGGCAGCCCGTTGTTTCCCACTGCATGATTTCCCTTTTCAGTCACTCTATGCTGCTGTCAGCTGACAGGAGCCATCAAGAGATGCTCTTTTATGGTTATGTGGGTAACTCTGAACATTTTGTGGGAGGTGTCTCACAGGAGAAAAGTGGAGTCTGTCAGCCACTGCTATTACTGCCATCCTGTTACCAGGTGGCAAAGGCAAATGAGTTCTGTCAGATAGCCCAGAAGCTTATCAGAGAGGAATAGACTGATGAGTTTATAACATCTGAGCTCATACAACATGCCCATTTAAATAATGGGATGTTTTATTTTTGTAGTTGGCTCTTTAGTTTTAGGAACATGTATCTTGATGGTTGTAATCTTTTGCTTCCCCCTTACCTCTATATATGAATATGTATTTGTGTGTGTAAATATGTATATATGTAATATACAGCTATATATGCATCTATATTAGCATAGTTCAATTCACAGGCATTTATTAAGTGCTCACTATGTGCCAGGCATCAAGGACACAGAGATGAATAAGATACGGTCCTTGCTCTCAAGGAGCTTATGGTCTAATGGTATTTGTCCTTTTTGAAGAGATTTTATATATAGGGATGGTGTCTGTTATAACACATAGGGTATTAAAGCTTGATAGGACTTTCCAGAAGGCACAGGTTAGCCATAGGAAGCAGAAAAAAAGCTAATTTGTATATCACTTATGTACAGTTTTTACTTTGTTTTCTTTTTCATATTCTTTTCCATTATAGGTTACTACAAGATATGGAATATAATTCCTTGTGCTATACAGTAGGATCTTGTTGTTTATTTTATATATAGTAGTTAGCACCTGAAAAATATGGAATGCTTCACGAACTTGTGTGTCATCCTTGTGCAAAGGCCATGCTAATCTTCTATGTATTGTTCCAATTTTAGTATATGTCTTGCTGAAGTGAGCACCAGTTTTTACTTTTTAAATTTAATGTAAAAATAATTTTAGACTTACAGAAGAGTTGAAAAGATAGCACAAATCTATGTTCTTTATACCTTTACTGTATATCTAGATACGAGTTCCTATATAGCCTTCACCTAGGTTCCCTTAATGTTAGCATGTAGCCATGGTACGCTTATCAAAAACTAGGAAATTAACAGTGGTACTTACTATTAACTAAACACAGACTGTATCTGGATTTCAGCAGTTGTCCACTAATATCCTTTTTCTGTTCCAGGACCTGATCGAAAGTTCTACATTACATTTAGTTGTCATGTCTCTTTTAGTCTCCTCCAGTCTCTGACAGTTCCTCAGCCTTTCTTTGTCTTTTATGACCTTGACACTTTTGAGTAGTACTGATTAGGAACTTTGTAAAGTGCCCCTCAATTTAGTTTTGTCTGCTGTTTGCTCATTATAAGACTGAGTTAATAAATTTTTTAGAAAAATCTCACAGAGGCAGTGTACCCTTCTCATCACATCCTTTATCAAGGGTATGTGATATTGACATGTCTAATTCGTGGTGATATTAACCTTGATCATTCAGTTAAGGTGCTATCTGCCAGATTTCTCTACTGTACTTTTACTTTTTTCTCTCTTTGTAACTGAGAGTTGGAATTTTCTCTTTGTAATATTCCACAAATATTTTGGAGGTATTTAAATATCCTGTTTCTCCTTAAACCTTCACCCACTAATTTTTTTTAATTTTTAAAATAAACTGTATTTTAGAATAGTTACAGATTTACAGAAAGTTTGCAAAGATAGTACGTACACTTCCCATATATTCCTCATCCATTTCCCTTGTTGTTAACATTATACTTTGTATTTGTATATTTGTCACAACTATTGTGCCAACATTGATACACTGCTATTGACTAAACTTCGTACTTTATTTAGATTTTACTATTTCACTCCACGATTTTAACATTTGATTGATCTTGCCTCTAGCAATTGTTACTGTGGTGATTTTCTATTTCCCTCATTTTTTCTGTATCATTAATTGGAATTCTTCTATAAGGAAGAGATGCCCTTCTCTCCCCATTTATTTATTTAATCACCTGTGTTTATCAGGGTAGACTCATGGATATTTATTCTATTCCTTGGGTTATAATATAATATTATCATTATTTATTTTGTTGATCAAATTATTCCAGCTCTGGCAATGGGGAGGTCTTTTGGGTTACTTCTGTGTCCTTTTTTGGGGGGAGGGAGGTAATTAGGTTTATGTATTTATAATTATTTTTAATGGAGATACTGGGGATTGAACCCAGGACCTAATGCATGCTAAGCATGTGTTCTACCACTGAGTTATACCCTCCCTGCCACCTTTGTGTCCTTTTGACATGCTCCTATCTTCTTTTCCTTTTTTGTGGGGAGCCCTTCCTTACTTTCTGGCATGCTACATGTAATTTTTATGTAAACCTAATAGACATTGTATCTAGGGGTCTATCTTTTTGTTAAATGCTTATTATTTCTTCCTCAGTTGACATTTTAACTTTTTTTCTGTCCTGACTCTCATCATCGAAACATTATGAATATCCGAAATTACGTTGAAAGATCAAGGTGTGGAAAATTCACTGAGAAGGGAAAGAGAGTGAGACAGAGGTGGACAGGACTTTCTTACTTCTTCCTTTATTTATGGTCATGGGCAAGTTGCCCAACCTCTCTAACTCTCAGTTTACTCATCTATAAAATGGTGATAATAGTAACAACATTTATCTTGTGGAGTGATAAAGATTAGATGAATTAAATATCAAAAGCTGAAAAAGTACCTTGTTATTTATAAAGTTTTATATAAAGGTTATAGAGTTATCTCTGTATCATAGCACAAGGGCATTGTATCCTATCTGTTTAATTATTTGGTAATGGTTGTTAAGAAAACATTTTTATGATTACACAGAGAGGCCCATTCAAGGAAGAATAATACACAATGAAGTTATACTAGCCAAAGAAATGAGCCTGGAACTGGATTAATGTATTTACTCAGATGCGATCTCATTTCTATAACTCTATTCATTTGGAAAGCCTAAGGATTATACTAGTAATATGCATGACCCTTCTGTCTGTCAGACATAAAATGAAGGCTTTGTCCTTATTAAAATAAAACCACGTCAGGATCAAATTATTTTTTTCTCCAAAGCCATGAGATATGTTTCCTCAACCAATATAAACCATCATATGGAAACAATTCAAGTTGTGGTGTCTGGTTGTTTGCTCAGAGCGATGACCCACCTTGTTCATCAGTCGGTGCGATTAATGGAGCACCCGTTACATACAAAGAATACCTGCTGCAGGCACCACCCAGGAAGCAGCAGCCTTAGCACCTGCCTTTGCACCAAATGAAACCTACCCCATCATTTCTGGAACCTGAAGCTAAAGAAAGAAATAGTTTTGACATGACTTTCTCAAATCAAGCTGGAATCTAAAGCTTAAGTGAATACATACAATGTGACTATAGAGAAACTTACGTCAGAGCCAGGAAAGGACAGAGTGAATTAAAAACCAAGATCAATAGAGAAGTGCTTTATTTTCTCTTTTTTTATGGCCCATTTTCTTATTTCCTTCTCTTTTATTGTCCAATGTGTCATTGCCTACCTCAAACTTCAATGTTTGACTTGACCCAATTCTTGATAGAGAATAACACTGGAGATCAAATAAGTGTTTTATGGTGCAATGTTTGAAAGAAATTCAACATAGTACATCATTAATCCTTTAAAATGTTTGTTAGAAGCACTAGTTCCCTTTTATGGTTTAGCAAATCTAAAATAACCCGTAATGTATCATCTAATTTTTTGTATATAGTGAACTAAAAATTTGGGCTAATACAATGATACCACTGAAAACCTTGAGCTTGTGATTCTAGCCTCACTCTGGGCCCTTTTCTCTCCTCCACAAAGTCTTAGCAAAGTCATTAGAACAGTTGCTTTAAAAAGGATATGCAGTATTATCTAGAAAGGAAAGAGCACACACTAGGAACCCAAATTGATTTACCGTAGTCTCTCCTCTTGACGCCAACTCTGGCCTCATATTTCTTGCCTGCGGTTTTTTGTTATTTGTTTTTTTAATTTTCAGCACAAACTGAAGGGTTTGAACTTCAGCGTCTCAAACTGAATATGATTGTTATATATCTGCCTTAAACTGAAAAGGGGCTGATAGTTCACCCTTTCCTTGATTTTTACAGCTGTGGAGTCATAATCAGGCTGCACTATGACATTTCAGCACTAAGTGGAGCCAGACACCTAACTGCCTTAAAGCTTACAAATCAACAAAGAGCACAGCCCACTTAACCTGGAAACCTGCCTTTGCTGTGGGGTTTACAAATGGACAGAACTGGAGTTCTCTGGTGAGTCATCCATTTAGTTTATTTGAATGCTCGAGCCTCCTTTTTTTTTTTCCAAGGTGCTTTACCTTTTAATTCTCAAGTCTCAGGGGACAGACACCAGGTGAACAATTCATTTAATTCATCTCACATGGATTAAGGAAAATAGATTAAGTAAACACAAACTAACCAAATTGTACATCATGATTTCCTTTCACTCTACCCTTTGTTGTAAGCCTCTACAAGACAGGGACCTTACCTTTGGTGGTTCAAATTCTGACCTTCAAGACTAGAATGGGCCCACTTGAGGAAGAGACCTTGCTAATAGGAAGATTTGTGATAGTGTTTGGGTGATGCTTTTGCAAGTAATTAAGTATTTGATATAGGGACAGATTTGCCCAGGGCAGAGTATTGGGTTGTAGGAGTAGGAGCCAGTCATGGGGTGTATGAGTATCTGTAGGTGACTGATGGAGGAGTAATAGAAAGTCACTGACCAATCTCATCTAGAAACTCAGTGCAGTCCACATAAACCATCTAATTCTTGAGAGATCCTGAGATCCTAAATGTAACAGAGATGAGCTTCTTACAATCATTCTACTTCTTTCTGCCTTAGTTTCTTTGTCTGTGAAAAGGAATAAGAATGCTTATTTCCACTTCCACTTCAGGTTTAGAGACATGATGAAAGAGGGTTACAAGGTTTCAAAATCCCAATTTTCTGTTTCTGGAGACTAAGTAGATTTTTATCCTATGGATGAGGAACTTGGTATGATATGCCACTTTAAAGTCAAATGTATGTGGAGTCTGAAAAATAAAGTAAATAAATTAATATAAAAAAAAGAAACAAACTCATAGATATGGAGAACAAACTAGTGGTTACCAGTGGGGAGAGAGAGGTGGGGAGGGAGCAAGACAGAGGTAAGGGATGAAGAGGTACAAACTACTAAGTATGAAGTAGTAGTAAGTAAGATAAATAAACTACAAGGGTATATTGTACAGCACAGGGAATATAGCCTAAGTTTTGTAATAATGAATGGAGTCTAATCTATAAAAATATTGAATCACTATGTTGTACACCTGAAACAAATATAATATTTTAAATCAACTATACTTCAATAAAAAATAAAATTAAATTTAAAAAATCAAGTGCCTATTGGAAGTCCAGTACTGAGCTTGTCCTTACAGGATGACTGTTGGACTGAATAGATAAAGTACTATTTGATACTTTCTAACTCTACTTTCCTTTATTTACTTCTTTATTCAATGAACATTTACAGATGACTACTTTATGTCAGGCACTCTGTTTGGCATTTGGAAGCCAGCAATGAAAACCTCTCTCTCTTCCCAAAAGAGCTTGTCATCTATGCAAGGAGACCAATCAAAATGCTAACAGTTATAGGAGAATACAGCAGGTGCTATGACAGGGTGGGAACCAGGTTCTGTGGGGACATAATCTCACTCAAATGGGGTCAGAGAAGGCCTTGAAAAGGCTGTGGCATTTGAATTGAACCTTGGAGAACATAAACAGATAACCAACTAGGAAAGCTCAGAGGCATGAAACAGCCTGCTGGTAGCAATATCTAATAATAAGCTATGACTCAAAAGAGTATGCAAAGAAGGGCTAGATTGAATAGTACAGAACAGACTTGCCCTGAA